TCTCACGTCATGTTCATCTTTTGCCTACCATTACTAACTTTTTGCCTTTTGCATCGTTCCTCTTTCTTTTGACACTAGATCGGCTACGACGATGACGACGGCAATAGGAACAACGACGATGCTAATGACGACTCCACCACTGCTTCATGTCGCCCAAAAAGGCTCTTTTTAAAATTTTCAAATGTAAAAAACATGGGGAAACCCTCGCAATTTTTTTTTAGGTGCACTCCCATTCCATTGTAGAATCTCGTAGTCCAAGTTACTAATAAAAGTGTACCAATTTTTTGCCCATACCCTTCCAATACTACCACTGATACTTTTACACAGCTTGGCCGTTTTTGTCCACCTCCATTTGCGTGCTTTTTACAGCAGTTTAGTCTTTGCCATTACAATAGCTTGTTGCCATTAGACATTAGCTTAAATACGACCCCAAACATAGCCTGTACCATAGCCCTCTAGTCCTATCCCATCAATAAAGCCTACTTGAATCATCCCACGAAAGACGTTTCTCAGATCCATAACCATGACAATATTTTGTACTTTATAAAGACCAAACTACAGATGAGTAGCTCATCAGTGACACCTCCTAAAACACCATTGGTTTACTAGTTGTAATGAATCTAATGACGTGTACATGATCGTAAGGTCTATCTTCGCATACATACAAAGTTTTATTGATACAGTAGGATAAATGGGCTATGGTACAGACTATGTTTGAGGCCGGAGTTAAGCTAATGTGTAAATGGCGACGGGTTGTAATGAGAATGACTAAGCTACTGTAGAAATCAAGCAAATGGAGGCGGACAAAGACGGCTAAGCTGTGTAAAAGTATCAAAAATAGTAGCGGAAGGGTATGGGCAAAAAATTGGTACACTTTTATCAGTGACTTGGACTACGAGATTCTACAATGGAATGGGAGTGCACCTAAAAAAAAAATTGCGAGGGTTTCCCCATGTTTTTTACATTTGAAAATTTTAAAAAGAGCCTTTTTGGGCGACATGAAGCAGTGGTGGAGTCGTCATTAGCATCGTCGTCGTCGCTATTGCCGTCGTCATCGTCGTAGCCGATCTAGTGTCAAAAGAAAGAGGAACGATGCAAAAGGCAAAAAGTTAGTAATGGTAGGCAAAAGATGAACATGACGTGAGAAGAGGAGAGTTACCGTCCGTTCGTTCGTTTGCTCGTTCGTTCGTTCGTTTGACGTCGTGGAGTAAAAAAGAATGACAATGCGGTAAAAAAGTAATGACGAGGGGAAGAAGGAGCAAAATAATAGTCTAAGAAGAGATTTTTATTAAGTCGGAACTTAAATGGACCTTGAAGCACTGGGACTGTGAGTCAAATCTGCTACGCCCGGGGTCGGAGTGAGTGAGTGCTGGAAAAACTGAATGAAGGAAGCATACAAGAAATCATCAAGACGAGCTGAAGGGTGATGAGGGGAGGGTGTCAGAGGAGGGGGGCCAGGAAAGAGTGCGTTGGGGGCACCAACCGATCAGACCACACCAGGGTGAAGAAGAATTCAAGCGGCGTCAAACCTTAAGCAGGAAAACCGGACACAAGAGGAGCTGTCGAGGTCAAGTCGAGGGGGGGAGAGAGGGCTGTGGGATTCGAACCCACGCCTTCACAGCGCCAGAGTGCAGCCTTGACCACTACACTACCCCAAACCCCCGAGCAAAATAATAGGACAAGCAAAAAAATAATCTTATAGCCAATCGGGGTTTGAAATCTAGAGTGCATAGGCACACATTGTTAAAGGAGTGTGTGGGCAGTGGCGGTTTTATCTTCATTCCATCTATGACCGGAACTGAAGTCAGGGACTCAGAGAGTTCCCCGCCATGCAAGTCCCTATTGTCAGCAAAATCCAGGATACGCAGGTTGGTTCTGTCCGGATGGTTCTCTCTGTAGCATTCCCCCTGCCCATATGGACCTGCCCCTAGAATTTCCCCTTTTATTAACACCCTTTCAAAGTCTCGTGTGCGTTGTAATCAGTCAAGACTTGGCGCACCAATGTATACCCCAATGCATACCAAAGTTTCGTCATTGAGATGGTTCAAAGTAGGTTTTATTCACTGATAGAGACTATGGTTAAACTATATAGTTGCAGTGGAATGACTAATCTGGTGTAATGAGCTGCAGAAGGGGAGAGCTGATCAGCGGTGCCAAAGAGGTTTGTGGTAGTGTCCAAAGGGATTGAGCTAAGGAGTAGTGCCTTTTCAAAGCGCAGTGGATAGACAATCTACAAGGGCAAAGTGAGTGCACAGAAATATCCCTTGGCCCGAATCCCTAATCCAAGTGCACGTACATTCAGTTCTGGTGCTAGAGAGCCTATATCCGTTGCCATCCCACTCGATCAGCCGAGGAAAAAAAGGAGCAATGATGCAAAAGGTAAGTGTCAGCCATGGTAAGACAAAGATGGACAGGATGGTGAGAGGGAAATAGTTACCCTGTATTCGTCTGTGCAGGGAGTTGTATAGAGAGCGAGTTGTTCGTTGTGCTGTTCTAATGCCGATGGAAAGAAAAAAGTAATGAAGAAGCGAAGAAGAAGCAAAGAAAGGGGTTGACGGAAAGTTTGATCTTTTATGCCTGGAAGGTTGTATCGGAGTATCGGAGTTCAATATTTGACAGGTATCATAGACGGGCTTGAGACGTCCTGTGATGGACAATAGATCGGTTATGCACAAGCAGGATTGCCAGCTAGAAAGAGGATTCAAGAGGTTAAAAACTGATCTGCATTATGGAGTTTCAACCTTTCAGGTTGATGACCAGACAAGCATTCCTTCCCACATAGCAACCACTATTTTAGCCCTCCTCTAATCACACATGTCCCATTCCCACCGCCAAAGCTCTTACACCATCCCCACAGATCATAGTCAAGTGTCACAAATAGCATTTTATTTCATCATCAAAGGCATGCTGTATATAAAAAAAATGGATGGATGACAATACTGTAAAAAACCAAAAGTATAGAAACGGATGAGGTTTCCCACACTTGAATCTTTAACGGTAAGACTTTTGGAAGCGAGCACGGGCACCTGGACCACCGAACTTCTTGGGTTCGCAGCGACGAGGATCGGCAACGAGGAGGGTACGGTCGTATTGGACGAGGATTTCCTTGATTTCCTTCTTGGCAGCTTCGTCAACGTACTTTTGGTAAAAGGCAACGATGGCCTTGGCAAGAGCTTGACGGATAGCGTAGATTTGAGAGGTGTGACCTAATGAAAAAGTGTTAAGCATCCATTTCTTTTTCACAGCTCCTTGCACACTTACCACCACCTTGGACGCTAAGACGAATGTCAACGTTGGAGAAACGTTCTTCACCGAGGAGAAGGACAACTTCGTAAACCTTGAACTTCAAGATTTCGGGTTCGAGGAGTTCAAGAGGAGAACCATTGACGCGGATGAGACCACGTCCACGCTTGCAGTGAGCGACAGCAGTAGCGGTTTTCTATAGCATAGCGAAGCAAGATTAGATCGAGTTAGTGTTATTGTCCTTTTTCATTTGGCTCTGTTGTGTTGATGATCGCAATCCCAATCCGCTTATTGAATCCCCATCGTCCATATTTTGTTGTTACACACCTTGCGACCGAAAGTTTGAACGGCTTCCATATCTAATAAGAGCAATTCAGTAACATGGTTAGATCAGATGATATAGTAGGATGGATGGATGGATGGATGGATGATGATGGATGGGGTGTGCTTTTCTTTACCTGTAATGAGGGAGAGAAAAAAAAGAGAGGGAAGGGGAAACAATTTGGCAGGTGGTTGAAAAAAAAAATCCAGCGCCTGCGAGCGGAGCTTAAGTAGTCCGCCTCGAGTCGTCGAGTAGCGGAGTTGATATTTGATTTCTCGCTGTGCGCTATGTCCTCCCACCTCCCGCTCCCACTTTGAATTTTTTCTTTCTCTCATTCTTCTAGTTATCAGCTATGGTAAGTAACTGCACCCATCCATCCATCATCGATCGATATCCTAACATCCATCACATCATCCTCTTTGTATCGATAGCCTACTAGATTACATCACAACAGAAAGAAGCGTGGACACGTTTCTGCCGGTCACGGTCGTGTTGGTAAGTGCCATTGCATTTGGATCAACCATGAACCATGGCTAATGCATTCTTCTTCCATTCATTGATCTTTCCAGGTAAGCACAGAAAGCATCCTGGTGGTCGTGGTCTTGCTGGTGGTCAACACCATCACCGTATCAACATGGATAAGTACCATCCTGGTTACTTTGGTAAGGTTGGTATGCGTACCTTCCACTTGAAGAAGAACACCCAATGGCGCCCTGTTGTCAACTTGGACCAAATCTGGACTTTGGCTGGTGAAGGTGTCCGTGAACAATACAAGAACACCGAAAAGGTTCCCGTTGTCGATGCTCTTCAAAACGTAAGTGGATATCAAGCCATCAAAGTGAAAGGGGACTCATGTATCTCTCTCTCTCTCTTATTATAGGGTTACGGTAAGGTCTTGGCCAAGGGTCGTGTTGCTCAACCCGTCATTGTCCGTACTCGCTTCGTCTCTCGCCGTGCCGAAGAAAAGATCAAGGCTGCTGGTGGTGGTAAGTCATGCGAATTTTGCATATTAGACAAGGCGACTCACTTTTTCTCTCTCCTTTAGTTGTCGAACTCATTGCTTAGATATACTCTCTTATCTAGTCCTATGTAATAAACATCCTGTAGTCTTCTTTTATTGATAATGTCATTGTAAATGGGATGATGGAGGGGTAGAGAGTGGCTGAAATCTTGCCCGCCTGTTTGGAGCGGAGTTTAACATTCTGGATACTTTGTTGCTGTAACTGTAAAAGGGAAGCCATGATAGATTTGTGTAATACTAGTGTATGGTTTCAGTTGTCATCGTCATAAGGGGTAAAAAGGTGAGGGGGGAGGTTTGTTAAAACTGTTACCAAGAGAGTTCATCAAGGCGAAAAGGTGGTTTGCAGATCTGAGTTTTTGCATGAATGTCGGAGTTGAAAACGATGTCCTTTTTTTCCATGACGACAGCCTGGATCAGAGTTGATGGATAATGTACCCGCTCAACTTTTCAGCAAGAAGCCATCATCCACACACATCATATCTTTAAAGGATGAATGGCCGTCGTTCCGTTAATAACCACATCAAATTTGGTCTCATAAGGAACGTTTCTGTATGATATCACCACTACTCCCATCGAATTTTCACCCCAGTGTACACGCAATCACCCCTCTACCGCATCACCATCTGCCATTCACCTATGATACCATCAACATACACACAGATACAATCAAAACACACATACATGCACACCAAAGATGAGCTTTTATCATTTTTTTTTATTGAGGGTGTTATCAAAGGGTAAAGTTTAGTTGGTCTTTCTACGGAAAGAGCAGCCTTCGGTCAAACGAGCACGACCACCAGTGGGTTGGCACAAGACGGTACCACAAGAAGAGCACAAGACAACAGTTTGGGCGTGGCTGAACACAGTGCTAATGTTCAAACAACCTATCGACACCGCAGCAAGACTAGATGAGTATACAGACCGAAACTACCACTTGCTTGTCACTTACCAGGACACTTGACATCCATGAAGTAGGAGTTGGGCGATTGCACAAGACGCTTGAGCTTGTGAGAGCGCTTTTCGTGTTCAACAGTGGGGTGTAAAAGATCAACGGCCAACTATAGAATCCATGTGTAAAGTGTGATTAGATCGTCGCATTCTATTTTCAGATTGAATTGAACCGAAAGCTGCCCGATTCCGCCATCCACAGATGAAATCCGACCCTTCCATCCATCCCATCTCTTCTTTTATCCATCCATCCATTCATCCATCCTTTTCCTCCATCGAGTCTCATCTCTATCACCCTTCTTCATATCTATACAACTTACAGTCATGTTGTAAAGTGGGAAAAAAAAGGAAAGAAAGAAAAATATCTCCAAAGACGAACCCTCTCTGTTCTGGTGACAAGCGGGGTTTGAATTCGACCAGTCAGAGTATCTAAAAATGAAGTGGGTAAACGAACCTCCTCAACAACCATGGCACTATAATTAACTAAAACCAGATGATACGGCATGTGCCATCGTTATTCTCCCTAATTAACTCGCCATCTATAGTCATGCAACTGTTCATCTTTACTTGGAATCATCGCCGAATGCATGGTGGCATTGATCTTGATTGTTTCAAACTCCGACAGATCGTCAAGACACAAAAGGCGGCCCTTTTTCTTTTTCTTCTTTCTTTCTCTTCACATTCCCCATCTCTCTTACACATTTTTTCAAAAACACCATGGTTCGTCCTATGAAACTCGCTCAGGGCACTCAATTCAAAATCAACTTGGAAACAGACCATATTATCTTACATGGCTCGGTGGAAGAATCGGGTGGTGTTATGTTGCGTGGCTCCGTCGTCTTGAACTGCCAAGAAGACATCAAAGTACGATCCGTTACCCTGAAACTTGAAGGCAAAATAAAGGTGAACTGGTCTGAAGGTAAGGGAATGAACTGTGGATGAATTCGAGTCTTACTGAATTACTGAATCTAGGCCATACATCCCGCCAACGACAATACAAGGACGAAAGAACGATCATTGAGCATGAATGGCCACTGATGTCACATACCCGAAGGGCATATCACTTGGATGAACGTCATTATCAATGGTAAAACCTCCTCACATTTTCACATCACATCATAGACATAAC